GACATGCACACCTCCACACACACATACACATATGCACACTTCCACACATGCATGCACACATGAATACACACACATATACGCCCCCCAAAAAATAACCCAAAACTCAAGATGACTTAGAGACCTGTCACATGTTATAGTGTGGGGGAAAAAGAGATGCTGTAATCACCCAGCTGCCTCTATCCTTTGGCTTTGTGAGAATTTGACAATGGCCCCCTTTCTCCAGGTGGCTGCAGCTTTGGGACCACCCTTCCAGTCCAGCCCCCCCACTCCCCTCTACCCCGGCACAGTTACCATCTGCTATGTTCTCACGCACAGGTTGCTACAAGAGAAACCCACGGTTTTCCATGTGACTTTCCACTCACAGTGCGGGTGGGAATCCTATGAAGGGTCACAGTGCCTGCTCAAGGGTTAGGGCTCATGTCAGCATTAAGGGTTCCTCATGCCCTTGCTAGCCCTTGGCCTCTTTATAGCGCTCACTGCCTTGTACCAAAGAATCTTGGGATGGAAGACAATTAAAAATGGAATCCCTAAAAGCTAATGGTACAAGACTATGGAGCACTTAAACAAATAAACATCCACAGGCAAAACGAAAGTAAATAGTAGCGGATGTAAATCCAGACTGTGTTCGCCTGATAGTTTGCAAAGCTTATAAACAACGAATCCTCCCCAAGGCAGAGTTGGGGCCTGGGAGCTGGCTATCAATTAATCAGTTTCTAACTCTATGACACATGACACAACCCACGCCCGTGTCCCAGTCAGCAGGACCATAGGAAGAAGCTCACCGCAGGCCTAGCTCTTCTCAGCTGAGGCTGAAATGGAAAGCTCCCACCACTGTCCATCTCAGACTAATACCCCAGATACAACCTAGCCTATGAGTTTCAGAGCAGAGCACAAATGGCTAGTCATGCCCATCAGCCCCTCTTGGAGGTCAGTGGCATTATCACCTGCCCAACCCCTTCCCCGAAGACAGGATTAATACAGCACTTTCCCCACGGCATTCTCATTGTATCCACTATTTGGCCCAGGATACACCTAGTAGGTGCTCATTAAATACTTGTTGGGTAAGAAATGAGCATGCTTGCTTCAAGGCCAGCACTCACACCAGCATGGCCTTGCAAAGATCTGTCCAATGAATCAATGGGTCAAAAGGGGAACTGGATCCGAAGGCAGGCGTGGCTCCACCCTCAGATTCTGCCTCTTACAAGCATGTATTTGTGTTTACCTTTTGACTCCTGTTCTCACCCCAGATCTCTTTGTGTGGAAGGATAAGACAAAGAAGCAGCAGTGGTCCCTGTCACCTTTAGAGGGGAGTCTGCCACAGAGACAGCACAGCAGGAGACAGCTCCACAGGCAGGGCACTCCCTGCCACACCTGACCACCTGAGCTCAATTCCTGGGACCCACGCAGTGGGAGGTGGGAGGTGGGAGCCAACTCCTGCAAATTTGTCTTGTGTGTGACCTACATATGCATGCCCTAGTGTGCACTTACACACACACACACAATTTTAACAATGAAAGAAGGGGGGGCAGTGCAGAACCCCCAGGGAGAAAACCACTGTGGCTTACTCTCAGAAAGTCAGGCAGGGCAGTGGAGTGGCTAGGAAGAGGAATGGGTGATCATAAGGTCAGAGGAAAAGGTCCCCTGGGCTGTGATCTCTGCAGGAGGGAAATGGAGATGGGACTCACACTGAGAATGAGCTGGAAACAGGCCTGTGAGTAGCCTGAGACTGAGCAGCAGCGAAGAAGGGAGCCTGTGGGCTCCAGGAGCTGATGCCATTATCTGCCTGCGGCATCAGCGTAGCCAGATTTTAAACAGATGCCCAGGCAGAGACAGAAAATGCACCATGGCCTGCAGGCTGAGGTCCCTGGAGACTGTTGTACTAAGCACTTCTTTTTATTCTGCTGCTGTGACCTTGCAAGGTCTGGAACCTTGCTGACACTGGAGAGGATGCTCCTCCCAGGGCTAGCCAACTTCCAGGCCATAAGCACCTGGATTGTATCTTTCATGCACAAAGCAACCATGTCAGAGCATGCCAACTATGCTATACCTTTTTCAGCCTCTTCCATGGTGGGTCTGTCCACCTACCCTCACTGCCCCACCGACAGGTGTGAGATATCTGGGGACAGTCATATCCAGGAGCCCAGTAAAAATATTCAGACTGGGCAATCCCAAACATCCTGGCCTTGCTTGCCTTACCCAGAAAATGTCAACAAAGGCTCACTCTGTAACCCCCCAACCACAGTTCTGCCTCCTGATAACACCCTTGTACAGCTAGCTCCACACAGCCCTACATGACTGTACATCCCTCCTCTTAGGAACTGAAAGCAACAAAATTGCTAAATAGTAACTGTTTTCTGGCTTGCTGACCTCACTAGACCTTAAAAAAAATAAATAAATAAAACTACATCTATAGATTTCAGTGGCCTGTGAATTGTCACAGTGTTTATCCCCCTCCAGTCCTGGCATCTAACATCCTCAGAACACTGCAGAATTGGCCTAGATACTAATCTGTGAATGGATGTTGAATGGATAGATGAAGAAGGGTGGGTGGGTGGATGGATAATGAGTCGGTGGATGATGGGCAGATGAGTAAATGGGTGTATGGATGATGGCTGAGTGGGCGGTTAGGTGGATGGACTGGACAGACACAGGGAAAAAAGTGAGGGGCTATATGGAAGCATTTATTTGGCTGCATGAATTCCCTACATTTCAATCTCATTGCAAACTCATTGTTTGGGTGCCAGATTCTGTATGTTCCTAAGTTTGGTAGTCAAGAAGTAAGGAGGGAGGGAATGAGAGAGGACACTTTTCTTTTTATGACAGCCTATTGGCTCTGAACCCAGTGATGTAAGAGAAGTCAGAAGGAGGCCTCCAGCTACTTCTGTCTCTGCCCATGCTGGGCTTTCTGAAAGGTTCTGAACTGGCCCCTTGCATCCTCGATGATATAGAGGGCCCTCTTCATCTTCCGTATCCCCTGATCCCCAGCATCCCTTGCATCCACAGTATCCCTGATCCCCTGCATCTCCTGATCCTCTGCATCTGCTGGTCCCCTGCATCCACAGCATCCCTGACCCCTTGTATCCCCTGAATCCCCGATTCCCTGCACCCCCTGATTCTCTGCATCCACTGTATCCCCCTGATAACCTGCATCTCTTGATCTCCTGCACCTCCTGAACCCCTGCATCTCCTGGCCCCCTGCATTCCCTGAGTCCCTGATCCTCTGCATACCCCTGATCTCCTGCATCCTCTGGTCCCTTGCATCCTTCCATTCTCAGCATCTCTGATCCCCAGAAGCTCTTGATCCCCAGTATCCCCTGCATTCCCTGCATCCCCCTGATCCCTTGCATAGTCCTGGCTAACCAAGCAAAGATGGAGTTGGAGGACCTGCACTGTTAACCTTTACTCTTTAAAATGCACTGATCTACTCTGCTTGTAGTGACAATACGGCTCTGGTAACAGGACCTTTGGGGCCATTCTCAGTGTCATGGTTCAGTCCCAGGTTCCAGCGATAGGCAGAGAAAGGACACACATAAGAGACATGTGTCTGCAGGATACGCAATGCCCTGGGTTTGTAGTTGCCAGCAGATACTTTGTCTTCAGCAGGGAATAGCTCCATAAAGGCCATTCCTCATTCCTCCTCTAAGTCCTGAGGAAAAAGACTGGAAGCAGCCAGAAGACTAGGGAGTCGAGATAGGGCAAGGTCACCAGAGGGTCATCATCAGGGAATAACTGTTAACGGTTTACCAGAGATGTCAGGACACTATATTTCTTTTGGATTTTGTATGTTTAAAATATTTCTTTTTTATTTTTATTTTATGTGTATGAGTGTTTTGCCTGCATGGATCTATGTGCACAATGCACTTGCAGTTCCCATAGAGTCCAGAAGAGGGCATTAAATCCCTTTCAACTGGAGTTAGAAATAGTTGTGAGTTACCATGCAGATGTTAGGAACTGAACCCAGGTCCTTTGCCACTGAGCCATCTCTCCCAGTCTTGATTATTTTGTGAGACAAGTTTTCACTATGTATCCCTGAGTAGCCTGAACTTTATATGTAGACCAGGATGGCCTTGAACTCACTGAGATCCACCTGCCTCTGCTTCCCAAGAGCTGGGATTAAAACACCCCTGGTAATCATAACTTTAAAGTGTGCCTCACCTTGTCTCTCAAGTGTCCTGGATTAAGTGGTAAGCGGCACAGTCACCTCCATGGCAGGGAATTTTGCAAATCATAGAGCCTGAGTCCAGGAGCCCCATAAGCAGCCGAGGCTCATTGTTTTGTGGGTACAAATGAGAGTTAGCAAACATGCTAGAGACAATCTAGCAACAGTGCTGAGCCCTGCAAGAGGGGTGAACGCCAGCTGAAGGGAACTGAGCCTGATAAGAGGCCCTGGTGGCCTCCACTGTACAACAGGGGTAACTGGAACCTACTGGTCATCCCCAGCCTCTCCACCCAGCTGCAGCAGGCTTTATGTGCAGACCAGGCTGGCCATGGACTTGAGCTTGAGACAGCTCTTCTTTCCCCTCATGGGAATTTCAAGCCAGAGTTCACAAATGGAGAAAGGCAGGAGAAGGTGCAAGGTTGATTTGTCCCTAGGTGGTAGAGGGGAAAGGGGGAACATCCCATCAACCCCAACTTCAGCACAAATCTAGTGCTGAGGTCCCACTGGACCCCACTGGACCCCACTGGGAGCAGTTGTCACCCCTGCCTGATTTCTCTTTTGTTTCCCCCTTGCCTAAGACAGTGTTTCCTTGGAAATGAACTTCAAGCGTGTTTCGTGAAATGTTATGGATTAAGGGACCAGGCCCCCTATATGAGAAATAACAGCCCTCTGCTAAGGCTGTCATTCAACTCCCCGAATCTTTAGCAACCATCAGAGACTTCTCTCCAGAGCGATCCAACCCCAAAGCAATCAGCGAGCAATCCCCACCACTCCTGTGTTTGTCAGACTGACAGTCTGTGGATGCGCACAACCCAGGACAGAAAGGCGAAGGCTAACAAAGTAGAAGCAACTCACGGGAAATTTAATTAAGATTGAAATGCTCTGAGCATCCAGTGTTGGAGAAATCTCATTTGTTTTGTGAACTGAAACTTTAAAGCTACTTTTGTTTTTAATGGAGGATTAGCTAGCATGCAGGAGTCACCGGTCAAACTGTTAATAAAATACACATCTTTCGGGGAGGTCTTTCATACTTCAGTCCTCAACCATAACAAAGCAATGACAACCCTGAATAGTTCCAAGAGTCCATCCGCTGCTCCATGGGGTGAAGAAGGAAGATCTTAGCTCTCAGGTGCAGGTGTTGTAAATTCTGGAAGCTCGTTTAGCTGTGGTTTGAGCATCCGGAGGTTCTTCTTCCTCTTCGTCAGTCCGTGTGTGGTTCAAAAACACATCAGACTTCAAGAAGCGGCTGTAGCTGTCATACTTCATGAGATTGAAGATCTAGAGAGGAAGGAGAGAGAGCCTGAGGGCTACTACCAACTCAGACCAGCAGTCACCATTTCATAGACCTACCAAGGGTCAGAGTAATACCCTCATGCACGCACGTGAGCACACACACACACACACACACACACACATACACACACACACACACACACACACACACACACACACGCACGCGCCAGTATAGGACCCATGAAAAGGCGCAGGTAAGAGTGTTTGCTAATGACCTATGTTCCATCCCCAAGACACACAGCAGAAAAAGAGAGAATTGACTTTCAAAAGTTGTCCTCCAACCTCCACACACATGCCATGGCCTGCACATGCCTGCACTGATACACACATCACACATACACACACTTGTTATAATAACAAGAAGAATACTAGGATAGGGCTGTGCTGGACAAGGCAAACATCCTGAACGTTTTCGTTCATTGTGTAACAGTTTCAATGGACTCTATAGATGAGAGAATCACGCACACGAATACATCTTTATTTCCCATGGAAGTATAAATGCACAGAGCCCGAGTCATACCTTCGCCTCAAATGGCCCTTTAAGAGTCTCAACTGGCTGGGTACCTGGCACATGCCTTTAATCCCAGCACTCTGGCGTTCAAGCTCGACCTTGGCCGAGCTACACAGTGGCTACACAGTGAGTGTGACTCCAGCTTGAGCTACATGAGAACTTGTCTCAAAAACAACAACATCTTTTTAAAGCCAAATATTAAAACCCAGTAAGTTTGGGGTTGGATATCTCAAACCTCTAACCATGCCAAGAGACAAAGGGAGCATACATATCTCATGCAGGGGAGGGAGTGTGCATGCAGTCTCCATCAGGAGAGACCGCAGGACCGTCTCAGCTGCAGGAAACACCGAAGTCAGCAGCAGGGCAGACCCCTGCACAGCCAGACAGGCCAAGGCCTCCAGAAAGCAGAGCGGTAACTGGGACTGAGAAGGACCCCGACAGAGCCTGAGTCCTGGGGACTAGGAAGAGCTGCAGCTGCTGGCACTACACATGCACTATGTGGAGGCTGTCTCCACACAGAAGCCCTATCTCTGGGCCACGCCCCTGGATTCACCCCTGCTTACCTTCCCTCACCCTACAACACGGGGGAGGACAAGGAAAGGAAGGGCACTTTTTTCTGCTGGTGTAGAGTCATCTTTTCAAGCTACTCTCTCTCTCTCTCTTCCCTCTTTCCCTCTCTCTCTCTCTCTGTTCCCCTGTCTGGCCCCCTCTCTCCCTCTCTCTCTCTTCTCCCCTCTCTCCCTCTGTCTGTCTATCTGTCTGTCTATGCCTCTTACCTTAAGATTAAAGAGCCACTAGGCACACCAAGGTGCCTTCCTGTACAGCACTAGCTCAGGCTTGGCTGAATAGAAAGTTCCAGAATGCCACTCACTGTCAGGTGGGGTTGTCAAGTGAGTGACAAAATCCTGACGCCTTTAAATTGGCCTTCTCCCAGTACATACAGGGCTGAGGCCTCAGGAAATCTACTTGGAAGGCAGGAGGTGCTTGGGGGAAAGGACAGGAACCTTCTATCTTTCACCTTCATGTTCTCAAAAGGGCCACGGGAGAACTAAACCACCCATTGTGTAGAGACCACACTCAGGAAACGTCAGGCACTTGGGCTGTCCATAGACTGTCCGACCCACGCCTGCCATTCCCCTGGGGCCATTCTTACCCAAGCTCTGGAGTAGTTACCTATTTTGTATCAATATTGTAAGTTTTGTTTGTTTGTTTGTTTTTTGTTTTTCAAGACAGGGTTTCTCTGTGTAACCACTCTGGCCATCCTGGAACTCACTTTGTAGACCAGGCTGGCCTCGAACTCACAGAGATCTGCCTGTCTCTGCCTCCCAACTGCTGGAAAGGCATGTGCCACCACAACTTGCTCAATTTAAAGTGAATGTAATGGCTAATGTGTGGACACATCACTTTTTATGAAAATATAACAGCCCAGAAATCAAGAAAATCAGCAGAGGGAAGAGGGCTGGGGGTACGAAACCCATTCTCCTTCCTGGGCCTCCCTCAGACATGCTAGGCAGGTGTCAATGCGAGGCGCCACTGGGAAACCTTCAGCCCTTCAGTACATGGACATCCAAGGGGATCTTACAGGTGCCTGCCTGGCTCAGAACCCAGAACAGATTCTGCAGGTGCGACTAAGGCAGCCGGCTCCATGAGGAGCTCCTGGCATGCAGCCCTGTACCCCTGTCACTTCCCCCAGGTCCCTAGCAAAGGCAGCCAGCACCCGTGGCAGGGGAAGGGCCTCCCATCTGAAGTCTCTGTGGGTGGGAGGGGAGTATCCTGTTTGCCTCTGTGACTCTGAAGCTTCAGAGAGAAGAGGAGGGTGCGTGTTGCAGGCACCCAGGGTGTGTGGAGGTGAGAGTGAGTCAGGAAGGCCGCTTCATTTGGGGATGTACCAAGAGCCCCAGAGGCTCTGCATCCCGCTGCCCCAGCTCTTGGGAGAGCTGGCTCAGCAATTAAGAGCACTTGTTGCTCTTGCAGAGGACCCGCATTGGATTCCCAGCACACACGTGCTAACTCACAATGGAGTTATCATCTGTAACTCCAGTCCCAGGGGATCTGATGCTCTCTTCTGACTTCTCAGGGCACCAGGACACCAGGCACACATGTGGTACCTAGACATACATGCAGGCAAAATACTCATACATATAAAATAATAAAATAAATGAAAGTATTAATTTTATCACTGTGGGTTTGGGGGAGGAGGAATGTGAGTGTAGCACACATGGACCTAAGTCAGAGGACAACTTTTGGGTACTGGTTCTCTTCTTCTACCACAGAATCCAAGTATCAAACTTAGGTTCGTGAGCAAATGCTCTTACCTACTGAGTCATCGTGCTGGCCCTGTCACAAATTATTTAACAAGCTCACAAGGCCATTCCATGGGGTGGGCAGGTGTGACATGCCCAGCCAGCCCCAAAATCCTCAGGCTGTGGTTTCTGGAAGTCTGGCTTTCATCACCTCTAGGGACTAGGGACTAGGAAGCAGTAGGCCCATGAAGACTTCATCTTCCTAGTTGTTTGTGGCCCTGTGGCTCTGCTTGAGATCCAGAGTCCAGCTTCCTAATGCACAGACATGAGGGTGTTTCCATGATAGAGCCCCTCACGGGCGATAGGCGACCAGGTACTACAGAACATGCAGAAGTTGACTACAAATCCATCGCAAGCTACACACCACAGCCTATCACAGGGCAAAGGGCCATGACGGACGGACGGAGCCCAGCATATGTTTCCCATGTGTTGAGCAGACAGTCAGGTGAGGACCAACATTGCTGATGGGTGTGTGGCCACACACTCGAGGCATCGATTGGATGGAACATTCTCCCATGAAACTATCACAGCGCCCTGGGAACTGTGGTTTCACGGAAGGGGAAAATAGGGACTTGGGGCTAGTGCTTGCCAGGATGGCAAAACAGAACCTCGAACAAATTTTCCTCATAGTTCCAGAGGCCAGGATCTGAGGTTAAGCTGCCAGCCGACTGATTTCTTCCAGGACCTCTCTCTGTGTGTCACATGGCCATCCCCATGCGTGCCTTCTAAGAACACCCATGAGGAGCCAGCAGGATGGTACAGCAGGTGAGAGTGCTTGCCGTGAGGGCCTGGTAAGCAGAGTTTGGTTTCCAGAAGCCACATAAACATGGGAGGAGAGAACCCAGCTCCTCAAAGTTGTCCTCCACTCACGAGTGGTCACACACATTAACACACACATAAACACAACACTTTAAAAACAAACACTCGTCACTTTGGATCAGGGCCCACCCATATGGCCTTAATTAACTTAATTACCCTGTCTCCACATACAGTCACATTCCGGAGCACTGTAAGTGAGGACTTCAGCATAGTGAATGGGACTGGAGTAGAAGGGCAGAATTCAGTCGTAACTGTGGCAGCTTACCTCTTTATCCCATATGCCACACCCTCATGTGACACTTGGGTGACAGAACACTATGCGGTTATTAAGCATGAGATACTTGCCACACAGCCTGAAGACCTGTGCTTGCTTCCTGGACCCACGTGGTGGAAGAGCCAACTCCTGTAGGCTGTGTTGACTCCAATGCATGTGCCCTGGCACTTGTACTCCCCGCCCCTCAAATAAATAAGTAAATAAATAAATAAAATAAAAAAGTGGTCTACGAGATGGGTAGGTAGCTCTTGGAATGGCAAGGTAGGCAGATCAGAAGTTCAAGACCAGCCTGGGCCACACAGGTAGGCTCCAGGCCAGCCTTTCACTACATGAGAAAACAAAAAACAAAACAAAACAAAAGCCAAGAAAAATAAGATTTGCAAAGAGTTGAACGTGGAAACTTGCCCATAAGCATTAAATGATTGAGGCCAGGTGGTGGTGGCACGAGCCTTTAATCCCACCACTCAGGAGACAGAGGCAGGAGGATCAGGAGGATCTACAGAGCAAGTTCCAGGACAGGCTCCAAAGCCACAGAGAAACTCTATCTCAAAAAACCAAACCAAGCAAAACAAAACAAAACAAAATAAAACAAAACAAAAGCAAAAAAAAAAAAAAAGAAAGAAAGAAAGAAAGAAAGAAAAAAGAAAAGGAAAGGAAAGAAAAAATGAAGACATATATCCATCTAGAACCTCAAAATGTGACTTTATTTGGAAACAGATCTAGTGATGACTAACGAGCTGAAATCACCCTACAGGGTATGGGGACCCCAGTCCAAACACTGGTGGTTTTCTCAAAAGAGGGTACAACATACAGAGAGACCAAGAAAGAAGGAAGCCACCTGACAACCGTGACAGAGGCAGAAGTCACAAGGCACAGCCTACAGATTCCAAGGATGACAAGCAACTGACCAGAAGCTGGAAGGGGAAGGCAAGTTCGTCTTCTAGAGCCTTCTTTAGGAGCCCAGACCCTGGCCACAGATGGTTTCAGACTCCTAGTCTAGCTGTTTGAAAACATGTGAATTGGCGGACAGTTAGGACAACATTAGGAAGCTGCCAACACAGAGGCACAGACATGAACT